TTATGGACAAATATTTTCAAAGGAGTTCAGTAGTACTATCGATCCGATGCAATCTTGGTGGTAAGTTATTCGCCAAATTATATAATACTTTTCCGCGCAACAGACGAGAGACAATAATATTCAATCAAAATCGAGTCAATACGCGAAGTTAGTCATGTAATAGGAGAACAGATATTAATAAATAACCAATATACATTCTAGAAAAGTCTAAACACACAAACCTTGGGTGAAATGTCCCAAGTTAAAGTACATACGAGCATAGTACTAATATTATGCATAGCTCACTGACACACAGATATGAGAAGTGAGCAGAGAATTACCCCGAGATTGGAGGAATTAACTGAAATATACAGAACGACATCAACAGTACTCGAAAACTTTATGGATGTTTATAAAACGTAAGGTAGAAAGCCGCTTTAATGCTTGCGAATAAGCTCAAGCTATTGCTACCTTAACGAACAGTAATTCCGTCCCACTCTTGTGCCTTGTGGTTCTATCTATAAACGTCCTGCAATCAGATCAAGTGATTTCAAAAAACAAAATCATACTTCTACGACGCGAGATGAAAGGAAGTAACTAGACGTATCCTAATCCTACAAACCCCACCTGGACTAAGAGAATTATCGTACCTTAGCGAATTGCTTTGTGTCGTTTTACGGCAATATAACTGGTGTACCAAGATTTTGTAACGGCACAGTAAAAGGCACAGGACAGAATAGCGATAAGTGGAAGTATAAGCTGAAGTTGACTTTTGTTTCTATTTGTTAATATCAGAGGCTGTATTTTCCTGAGGTTATGCACGTATTTCAAATAAAGCACACCTTTATGATCAGATTGTAGATAGATGTAAACATCGCAGGGACTCCAGTTATTAGGCTTTTTCCATATCTGTACGTATTAATACACCGGTCTGTAAGTTGTATTTGTCCACAGTTCTTTTCTGGCACACACGCTTCACATCTCGACTCAGTCACACTTACTCAGGCTATTAAAGTGTTTGTACCTCCGAGGAGTCCAATACATCTGGCTTTAACCATGTGCATTAATTCGCAATATTTATAGAATAACTTAATAATCCGATTAATTCTTATAAACACCTAATTATACCATATATAATTTACCTATTACAATTAATTGGTTGAGTATCATATTAGGGTCGAATTTGGTTTAAGAAACACAGATTTTGAGTTTATTTTCCCACACAAAAGTTATTAGAAAACACTTCGCCCCACATAGAGATTTATTAAAGAACACGAGAAACTCGACCATAAATATTCAAATTATTGAGATGGTTGTGAGTATATTATTCAAATTGGCCTCAGAGTGAGACACTCATCATTGTGTATCTCATAAATCCACATAACCCATTGTATAATTAGAGTGAAAATGCATGTCGCAGATTGCCGATCGAGCTCGTCACAGCAGATCCGAAATAGGTGTGGATCACACCATTACTCACACATAACTAATATTTGAGTAGCCATCAAATTTAACATTTGAAGAAACTGTGATCATAATTAACATGACAATAATTCTATTATAGGGATAGAATTTGTTGGTTCATAGAAGTCTTCTCGTTAGTATATGTCAGCTAACTACAAAGATATGGAAACTGAAGGAATTCAGTAACTTGATTGTTTACTCAAGCTGTATCAAAAAGATTTAGCCTACCTTCGTCTTCTGAGACTTAGAAATTTATGTCCTAGGGTAGACATTTATAAAAAGAAAAAATTGGTAGTGAAACTTTGATGTGTAAGCATTTGTTAGTTAGAAGGTTGTATAACAAATGTCAATGGTTTCGGCTAAAACACTCACTTACACTTGATCTATTAATATTTAAAACAAGCAAACTACCACATACTCACAGATATGAATGATATTTGATGCAATGGTGCCATCTCTCAGCCTGCTTTCCTCACAAGTTTTTCCTGTCAGAAACAATAACACTCACATCACATTGAAACTGTAGCTTTCTCAGAGCCAAAGCAATTCGAAGAGTCGAGCGCAAACAATATCTCGAATAGAATAGCTTAGAGATATAATCGTCAAAGTATATAAGACAAAATACGAGGGGTCGAGCGAGAGAGGGTAAATAGACAAGACGAACGATTGAGTTTTGCCGAGCATTCTAAGAGCTGAAAATGAGAAAGTGGTACAGAGCAATATTCGTTTGGTCTCTTCGTTTCTGTGATAACAATATTACCTGCCTTATCTAATATTTTTGATACTCAGCATTTGTGCACGTTTATATGATTTCTAATAGAGGCTATTATCGATTCATCAAACACAGTACTAGTTTAGGAGATTGTCTTTCTGATAAAGAGATTGGTATGCTTAAATGATAAGTTGATTGTAAAAGTTATGGTATAGGACGATGTGTTAGCATATTTTTTCTCTAATAAACATTCAAAATACTATTTGTACCGTCTCTCTAATAGAGATGCGATCTACATGTGTTGGTGCACTCTAGGTGTGGTCTGAATCCTACTTAACTCTAATATTATGCAATGATGATGTCAATCATTTTTCACACAAGAAATAGCTACAATGTGCACGACATAGCCATGAAAAATGTACAACTTGCTACTGATCTTGCAATCACTTCCTATTTCAAACAGAGATTGATACTACGATAATCAGTATTCTACTTGTCATAAAGGTTTCTATCACCAGATTCATCTTATAAAGACATCCTGATGTACAAAAACAAAGCTTCCAGTTTTGCACGTTCAACCTAAATTGCTTCAAAGTCAGTAAAGCCGATGAATTACATTATTGACAAGTGCCAATGAGTATATAACAACCACACACAGTTTTAGCACTTGCGCATCAAAGTCCATGGTGAAAGAATATAACGACACCTACCTACACTACAGAAGGCAAAAAGGGACTATTTGGGGAGGGAGTGCATTGATGGTTTCTCTCGCGGACTCCGTTCTAATTCATATCACTTAAAGATTATTTACAAAACTCACTCCCTCCTTTGGGAGGTTTTCAGGAATTTCTGATGCTATAGGTCATATCTGTTCACTATTGGCAGATATCAGTCCTCTTATAACATATTCCAACTAACGATTTGCACAAACTAAAGATGCCTCTTAAAGCATTACATCAAATACTGGTTTGTTGGAGAAATCAAACATCTCGATAAACGGGTTCTTGAGTAACGAGCAATAGACTAGAAATGTAAGAATAACCAAACATACCCACAAACTCCGACCGATGCTCTTTTCTCTTTCATGTTACTCAGCTGTGTCATATCTATTGGAAGCACAAGTGCTCAAGAATTATGGGTTTGTCTCAAAGAACAGTTTTTCAGGTTCTTATGTTTTGTGAAAGTCGTAATATCCATATTATAATATTCCTAAATGAAACATATTATTATTCTATTTCGATGCTATAAAATATCATATGACATATAGTCATGCACTTTCAAACGGAAATAGATATAAGAATCTATTCAGTCTACTACTTTTAGGAGAATGATAGGAGGACTGCACGAGACTCTTAATTCGTGACAGGCACTTCTTTATCGCCCAAAGTTTCACTTTGAGACGATCTTATTGTACATTGTTATCATTAACCTCTATCACAATTTTAAAATGGACTTGCCAGTGAAGTACAACTACATATTTTCACTAAGATCAAATTAGTTTGCGTAAGGAAGTGGAGAAATTGTATAATTATCCTATCACAAAGACTTGGAGATCTCAATTGGCTTGAGCATATAAATATAGAAAACAATGGAGTAAAAAAAACGATAAAAAGTGAAGTGCAGTCACTTGTCGAGAGTTCACACTATCTTCTTGCCACATGGTCATTTGACCACAGAAGGAGTGCTATTAAAAAAAGTTAGTTTTTAACAAATTATTTCTGAGTCATAGTGCTTCCTCCATATGAACAATTTCATAACATTTCCACACAAGAATTTTTCTGGCAATCAAAACTAAAGGGATGGTTCTAAGCGCAACCAAAACAGGGTTATTTTGGCAATATCTCACAAAGGGTTCTCCTATCCACGTTTAACTGTGTGGTGTGGATGAGCGGGAGATGAGGAGAGCGGATCAATTAGGTCCACTAAATCATTTCCATGTCCAGAACAAACATCGTAACTCAATATTAAAAACAAGGGGCAAGGTAAATTTTAACTAGGCGGCTTCCTTTCAAAAAACAACATTTCTATAATCTTTCTGCTGAAACACTGAGAAAATCAAGAGAAACAACTACATAATATCATTTCGCTTTCTTAGTATTTTTTTCGTTTTTTATCGCTTTTCAACATCCAATGAACATTCATTCTCAACAATACTCTGGCTTACAGCAGTTCGCAGCCAGCAAACAAATCACCCTATTTAAATGCTAATTTGCAGAATTTATCCTTGGCTAACTATATTCCCATCTACAGAACAATACACTGCAAATGGTGTAAGGTTTTTACCAATAATCACATAACCTTTGGAATTCGAACCTCCTTTCCTCCAAGGGCAAGACTGCAACTCACACCATGCTACGTCTATATAGTATTCTCTTATTTTTTTCCTTCTCACTGCCTCGTGTTCCAGTTATTCTCCTGCTTCACTCCTATACATTTACGTTTCTCTAAATGGCCCTCTGACTCCCACAAATCGTCCTCTCCAAACCTGCTTTAATAATAGTATCTTCAGCTTTTATATGTTTGCAAAAAATTTACTTAGAACTTACTTTCAGTATCATAGATATGCTTGGACATAATTGCGGGCATAATATTTTAATTTCTTGATTAGGACAAAGTCACATGGAGGATTTCTGTATACACGATTAGGTCATCGTCAATTGCACCCAACCCCAACTAGGAATAACACCGATGGGTTGTCATCCTAATGTTTTCTGCACCCATTCACTCCTCACGTTATTGTAGCACTACCTACAACTGTTTTGATATGTTGAGCTTGTTGAACCTAGCAGACCACATCAAAGCATTCAAAAGCCTGTATTTGAGGCTTAACGTCTAGCGCCATGCAATGGATACTCAGGAATTGCTAACACAGCTGTTGAGTAGTGTTCTGAGTCGTATCTACGTGAAACTCCAGGTGCGGAGGCACAAGTCCAAGACCCGGGTTTTGAGAAGTACCACCAACCCGGTTTGGAATGAGGAGTTTGTTTTCGGGGTGCATGATGTGAATGAGGAGCTTGTGGTGTCTGTGTGTCACCAGGATGAGGAGCAGTCTGGCTTGTTCTATGGCGGGTCTGAGTTGGTGGGTCGGGTTTCGATTCCGGTTTCGTCTGTTGCTGCTGAGAGTACTTGCACCTTGCCTCCGGCTTGGTATGCTCTTGAAAGTCCCAGGACTGGGAAGTTCATTAGCAAAGATTGTGGTTAGTGAACTTTTATGTCTGTTGTTCCGGTTTGTTTCAGTAGCGCGTTTTCGAGAGGGAAATGATTTCTGCACACTTTTTCTCCATTTATTTATTTTTTTTGGTAAAAAAATATCATTTGTTTTGACTATTTGAAGATTAACGGCCGATTATAGTCATTTTCTGAGGGGGGTTGGTGCCAGGGTAGCATCTCATCTGACCCTAATGCAGTTTTGCTGCTCTAGACAAGATTGTTCATTTTCTTATTGTGTACATTAGTTTGGGTCGAGGGTGATGATTGTCTATCCGTCATGCGAATTTCTATGCCTCACATCATAAGGAAATAAAAATATGTAAAGCTTTGGATTTTTCTATGTTGTTCTGAATTCAATCAGATGATCAAGGTATGTGCTCTGTATTTAGTAGAGAAATTTGTGGTGTATTTCAGTAGCACTGAGTAGTTCTGCAGAAGTATATTTTTCTTCCTCTTACTGTTGAGTCGTAATTTTCAGTTCATCACCTTTTATTGGATCATGGGAAAGATTCTGGTAGGGAAGAAATTTGCCTTTTTACTAAATTGACTGGCATTGTCTTCCTCTTAGGCCTAAGCTTTAGTTTGTCAAACAAAGTTGTTGACTCGGGCATTGTTACGGCGCATTATGTCCTTTCTAGCATTTTAAGCATCAATGGGATCTCTGTATTGATTGAATCATTGCCGTTCATATGCAGGGAAAATTCTTCTCACCCTTTCTCTGCATGAAAAAGGCCATGATGCTTCCATTGATTACCTTCTCAGTGATCATTCAAATATAAGCCTTGAGGAACCTAATGAGGTGGACAGTCCATTTATGTCAACTCACAGTGTCTTTTCTTCCAAATCTTTATGTTCCAAGATGCCAGGTGGTATACAGTTGTTGAAGGCTATTGTGAGACGTATGGACAAGCTTATGCATAAGAACGATGAAGCGTCAAAAACAGGTGATTCTTCGGAGTTGTCTACTCCAGTATCTGATTATGAAGATTGTGTGGAGGAGCATCAAAGTAGTTGTAGCTTTAAAGAGTCTCTTGAGATGATGCGGTCAAGAGGAAGCGAACAAAAACTGCCGGAGAATCTGCTGGGAGGGATTCTTATTGATCAGGCATATGCTGTTTCACAACATGATCTTAATGCATCTCTTTTTACCCCAAATTCACAGTTTAGGACAGATCTTGCAGAACTGCAGGGGACAACAGATCTACAGGAGGGGCCTTGGACGTGGAAATCCGGAGAGATGCCATGTTTGACACGAGTTGTTTCCTACACAAAAGCTGCCTCAAAGTTAGTTAAGGCTGCTAAGGCCACAGAGGAGCAAACGTATATCACAGCAGATGGAAAGGAATTTGCTGTATTAATCAGTGCGAGTACACCTGATGTTCCATATGGAAATTCATTCAAGGTTGAGTTGCTTTACAAGATAATGTCTGGACCAGAGCTACCTTCAGCGGAACAATCCTCCCGTCTGGTGGTATCCTGGGACATTAACTTTCTCCAGAACACAATGATGAAAGGCATGATTGAACGAGGAGTTCGACAGGGACTTGAGGAGAGTTTTGGTCAGTTTTCCAGCTTGCTGGCTCGGAATTTCAAAACGCTGGATTCAACAGACTTGTCTGACAAGGATCATATCCTGGCAAGTACGAAGGCAGGGCAACAATCAGATTTGAAGTTGGCAACTGAATACTTCTGGAATTTCACTCTAGTTACCACTATCTTTATGGTTCTGTATGTCCTGGTTCATATTCTACTTTGTGAGCCCAGTACACCCCAGGGCTTGGAATTTATCGGACTTGATTTGCCACACAGTTTTGGAGAGCTCATCACATGTGGAATTCTCATCCTTCAGTTGGAGCGCGTTTATAACATGGTTTTACACTTTGTACAAGCTAGGTTGCAGAAAGGTAGTCACATTTATAGCATCGCATTAACTTTACTAAACTATTCGAGTCTACAGTGCCTTCACACTTGATGTCACATCTTTAACACTGTCCTGGGATTTACTCAATCGTTCGGTCTCTTTCAATAGGAAGTGATAATGGAGTCAAAGCACAAGGTGATGGATGGGTTCTTACTGTTGCTTTGATTGAAGGGAACAGCTTAGCATCCTTGCATTCATCAGGGTTCTCTGATCCCTATGTGGTTTTCACCTGCAATGGTAAAACAAGAGCAAGCTCTGTCAAGCTTCAAACAAGTGATCCTCAATGGAACGGTGACGACTTTTTCCTTCTTTGTCCATTTTTTTTTCAACCATATATTTACTGATGCGACACCACTCAGTGGGAAAAGGCTTTGTTGTTGTTGTATATATTTACTGATGCCTTCTTGCAAATGTGATGCAGATATACTTGAGTTTGATGCTATGGAAGAACCGCCATCAGTTCTGGATGTTGAAGTTTTTGATTTTGATGGCCCATTTGACCGAGCTACATCACTTGGACATGCTGAGATCAATTTTCTTAAACACTCAGCTACCGAACTTGCAGATTTGTGGGTCTCCCTTGACGGAAAGCTTGCCCAGTCTTCTCAATCAAAGTTGCACGTCAGAATCTTTTTGGACAAGAACAAAGGAGCTGAAACAATTAGGGAGTATATGACCAAAATGGAGAGGGAAGTTGGAATGAAGGTGAGGACTTTGCGTCACGATTTCTTCTTTCTTTTCTTCTTGAGTTAACCAAACTATTATGTACATGAGTTTCCCTCTTACAGGTTATATTTTTGTTGCTGCACGTTTAACATTATTCTCTTGACAAAAAAAAAAAAAAAAAAAACCTACAATTGAGCCTAATTTCTACTCTAGATGTTGATCAAAACTCTGCTTGGTTTGACAGTTGAATCTGCGATCGCCTCACAGGAATTCAACATTTCAGAAATTGTTTGGGTTGCCACCAGAAGAATTTCTTATCAGTGATTTTACATGCTCCCTGAGGAGGAAAATGCCTTTACAGGTGCCATATTTGGTTTCTATCATGCTATTCAACTACTTGTAAAATAAAGAATAAATTACAATAAATTTATAGATATTTTAGATCTTCTAGTATTCCAATTAAATCTGGGTTCTTCTGAGCTCAATTATACAGGATAAGAAAGATATGTTAACTTCTATTTGTGTGGTATAAGTTAGATGAGGAATGACAAATTCCGCTGCGTTGAGCACACTTTATATGTTAACTTCTATGAAGCCTTTGTGTGTGTGCATGTATGTTCAGTGCGTGCGCATATCTGATTATAGCAACGATGACTTGCTGTTGCAGGGCCGACTCTTTCTATCTGCAAGGATAGTTGGGTTTTACTCAAGCTTGTTTGGACACAAAACAAAATTTTTCTTTCTTTGGGAGGATATTGAAGATATCCAAGTTCTTCCCCCATCCTTATCATCTGTGGGAAGCCCCTTGCTGGCCATTGTTCTAAAAAAGGATCGAGGAATTGATGCAAGGCATGGTGCAAGGTGTCAAGACGATGAAGGCAGGCTGAAATTTCATTTCCAATCATTTTTATCGTCTAATTCAGCCAGCAGGTAGTGGTATTAGGGAACTGTATAAATGTTTAAGACAAATGATTTCCTTTTTGCCATAGTCTTTATACATGTAGAAAGCATTTGATGACTGATTACGTTTTCCTGGCAGGACAATAATGGGCTTGTGGAGAACGAGAACACTTAGTGCTGACCAGAAAACACAAATTGCTGAAGAACATTTTGATCAAGAAGACATCCCCATAATGTTTGAAGACACTGAATCCATATTCAATCTTGAGGATGCAAAGATGTCCAAAGTTTATACTGCAGAACTACCTATTAACGTAAGTTGTTGGTTATCTTCTCTTTTTCCTTTTTATTGCTTTGTTAATCGTTAAAGAGTTTATACTGCATGATTTGTTATTCAGCTTTGAACTTCGTTTCTTTAGTGAAACGAAGACTCTTGCTCAGGTGAAATTGTATCTGACTTCATAGCCTTGGTTGACGATTTGACAACGTAACATGGGTGACTAACAATTAGAGTTGGCGCAGATAAAATCTCTGATGGAAATTTTCGAGGGAGGAAAGTTGGAGCATAAAATCATGGGGAAATCATGCTGTCTTAACTATGTAACTACCGCATGGGAACCTACAAAAAAGCCGGATGTCTTTGAACGACATCTATCTTACAGGTTCAACCGCCAGGTCTCAATCTTTGGAGGAGAGGTTACATGCAGACAAGAAAAGTCCCCCTTGGCAAACGGTGAAGGATGGATCGTGGATGAAGTTATGGCCCTGCAAGGCGTTCCATTTGAGGATCACTTTCGTGTAATTGACATCAAACTGAGAATTGCTACCTTTTGACATTGCCTACATTCTCGCTTAATACAAATATTCGCTTCATCGTGCAGGTTCAGCTCAGGTTCCGCATCGAGAAATCTGCCATGGCTCATAATGCATGTAAATGCAATGTTCATGTCAGGGTCTTCTGGCTTAAAAGGACAAAGTTTCAGGACAGGGTCACACGCAACATCGTAGGGAAATTCGCCCATCGACTCAAGGAAATATTCGAATTCGTCAAGCAGGAGATTCTCTTGGCACCGGGACCAGACGTTTCCCTTTGACACACACTCTTTAGCCTCACTATCATTCACATTCAGATAGATCACAGATTCTTTTGGTGCTTTCGGCCGGACAGCGATACAATATCAGCAACGCAGTCCAAACCAGGAAATGTACGTCCAAATGTAGGACATTTCGATTTTTTTTTTTCTTAGATTCTGCTTTCGTTATAGGAATATCCTCCTATAACGTTGTTTTTATTAACGTAGAACAAGCATTCTGAAATTTAGTCGAAAGTCTATATTTCTACCGAATCAATAGACATTTTTGACAAAAATAAGGAGTAACTGTTGCTAATATTACTTTTTGCCGTCAAACGCCATTACGATTACGTCTCTCCTATTATCTTTTTGCCGCCCAAGTGTGAACAGCAGGACCACCAAAAAGTTGGAATTTTGAACCCCAAAAAGTCGAGGGCTTGCGAAGACTTTGAATCTTTAAAGTCTCTGAATCATCTTCTCCAACTTCATTCTTCTCTGACCGCTCCTTCTGTGGAGCGATGGCCTCCACAGCGGTCATCGATGTCCGCTATTTCGGAACCTCTAAGGTAAGAATGTGAGATTTTTGTTTGTTGGGTTTTGTTATGCTCTGATCTGTTTGGTTGCTGAGAAAATCAGGGAGAAAATATGATGTGCTAGTAGGTTGTGAGATGCAAGTTGGGTGGATCATATCTGTATGAGTTGTAGAGGGCCGCTTGTCTGTCTCTCTAAAATCTTGACAGGCCGTAGTCGGATAAAATTGATAATTTTGCCTCTCTGGGAAAATTAATTTGCAAATTGTGTTTCTGGGTACTGAGACTTTCCAGATTGTGTTATGTTTTTATTTGGTTGCTTAGTTTTGAATGCTACTAACATCTCACTGTTTGTGTGATGAAGGTTAGAGCTGCCGGCAGAGTGAGGCATCTCAGTGCTCGTGTTGATAACAATGGCGAACTGGATCTCGACATGGGAGGATTGCGGAGAGAAATTCGCAGCCTTTGTGCCCTCCCACCCGCTGCTGACATTACTCGTACATTGATGAAAACTACGATGTAGTTACTCTTGTGGACGATGATGATCTGCGGGAAGCAATGAGGCAGCGTCTGGAACCCTTCAGGATCGATGTGCTGATGAACGATGACAAGGAAGACCGCGGTAAAAACTCAAGCTCCGAAAAATGTCTCGTGACGGATGCTGTAAATGCGACAAGTGATGTGAGTAATAGCAATGTGTTTGATGAATTCCATCTGGCAAATTATGATCACCCTGTTAGTCCTAGGGTTAAACAATCTGAAGACGAATGTGGTATGATGTGCGACGCAGGCATTCGCTGTGGCGCCTGCAACGACAAGGTTGCGAAATTGTGGTTAGCGGCGTTGGCCCTCGTAGTGTCAGTTTGGTTATTATCCCGGCGACATGGATCGGAGTGTTGATTGCTTCTACTACACCTCCTCTGCAAGTGAGCTTGTTTTTGTGCTCAACTTAAAGAAAATGGGAGGCCTTGTTGCTTTGTTTGGCTTGTGCAGCAATTTTGAGTCTGCTGGCCAATTAACATATATATTGGAATATAGATATATAGCTTGTTCCTTTTCTTTTATTTCTTTGTGATATGAGTTGATTGTCTTCTTTGTATTTTGCAAATGCTCGTAATTGCTTGAGTTGTAGAGCAATTCGTGGAAATGATCAAATGTTTACTTATAGTTATAAAAATTATTAAAGGCTAAATCGCCAAAATAGTCTTTGAGATTTACATAACTCGTCACTTTGGTCCTTGAGATTCCAAATCGATAAAAGTGGTCCCTGAGATTGTCCACCATTCATCATTTTGGTCATTCCGTTAAAAACTCCGTTAATGACCCAGAGCTCTTGGCCGGAAGTTTGGGCAATTTTCAAAGCTTTGTAACTCAATCGTTTCTTAACCAAATTCGACCCATAACATATCAAAATGAAGATAAGATGTAGAATAAGATTATAGCTATTTCAAAGCCCAATGGTTGCCAGAGATGGCCGGAAAATAGCCTCAAAGTTGACTGATCCGAGTGAAAACTTGAAAACTCGCCGGAAACTGGGTAAACTTTCAACGTTAATAACTTCTTCAATACTCAACGAAATCAAGTGATTCAAAAACGAAAATCATACTTCTCGACGATAATAAGAGAATGTTACCTTTTTTGACGGCTAACTCACCGTGGTTTGGCCGGAAAACGGCTTGAAAGTGGCTGTCTTGGTCTCCAGTTAGCCACTTTTGAGGCGTTTTCCGGCCAAACCACGGCGATCGGGCAGTAAAAAAAGTTACCATTCTCTTTGTCTCGTCGAGAAGTATGAATTTCATTTTTTGAATCACTTGATTTCATTGAGTATTGAAGAGGTTATGAACGTTTAAAGTTTACCTAGTTTCCGGCGAGTTTTCCAGTTTTCTCTCGGACCAGTCAACTTTGAGGCTATTATCCGGCCATCTTCGACAACCATTGGGCTTTGAAATAGATATAATCTTATTCTACACTTTCCTATCTTTATTTTGATATATTATGGGTCGAATTTGGTTAAGAAACGGTTAAGTTACAAAGCTTTGAAAATTGCCCAAACTTTTGGCCAAGAGATCCGGGACACTTAGTAGAGTTTTTAACGGAATGACCAAAATGATGGATGGTGGACAATCTCAGGGACCGCTTTTATCGATTTGAAATCTCAGGGACCAAAGTGATGAGTTATGCAAATCTCAGAGATTATTTTGGCGATTTACCCAATTATTAAATTGTTGATGTTTAATACGCTAACATGTAATCATTGAAAGTAAATCTTGACATGGTTAATAGATGAGTTTTTATTTTCTCTTACGTTTCTTAGAACATATGAAATCAAATAAAGTACGTTCTTACAGGAAATCCCTAATTCAATATGCGAAAAAGATAAGCAATTAAATTGATTAAAAGGGGCAATTGATCACGATATCATGTACTCATTCACACTCTTTTCTAATTTGTGTAGATAAACACGTACTCGTTCAATCTCCTCCAATTCGTGTAAACAAACATGTAGCACGAGAAATTTTTATAAGTGCTAGGAACATATGTTTTGTGATTATATCATTCTTCATGTTTTAATAAAGAGAGACTACATGATCAGGCACGTGCTATAATATAAGAACAATAATAACGTTACGTAATTGTGTTGTGAATCTTCATCATGTCCCGTCCTATATCAAAACGTCCCTAGTAGTTTTAGCGTCATAAATTCCATGTTTATCAAGAATGGCATTGGGTCAACACGACCACTAAAGATTACACACAGAAATAAAATAACGCCTCCGTGTATGAGGTTCCACACCATTACGACGGTCCTCCAACCACCAGAACACAACCGCGCCTTAATGTATCCGCGCACGGCGCCCCTATCTTTGGCGAGAAGAAAACCAGAAATAATTAATTTTCTTATTCGCCAAGCCAAGAGCGATATATAATAATATAAATATACAGGCACCCAGGCTCCGTCTGTATTTCCGCTTTGCGATTCGTAGAGAGAGAAAGCTAGAGAGAGAAAGAGAGAGAGAGAGAGAGAAAGGGGGAGAGAGGCGGTAGTAGCGGCTGACGGGTACGCTTGGGGTTCCGAGATAACGTCCGATTTTCTCGTTCTCGAACGGTTCTAAGATTGTTTAGGGTTAGGGTTTTACTTCTAGTTCTCGGATTTGGAGCACACTGGTTGTTTCTGCAGCTATGGCGTCGACCAAGGTTATCAAGGTGCGATCTTTTCGAACTTTCGTTTCCGAATTTGATATGGGTTTTTGGTTATTCTCTGTTTGGTTGACGGGAAAAATTTGGGATAAGGGAAAGAGGTTTGGAAATTTGACATGCAACTGAGCTGTGGGATGAAATGGGGTTCTTGATTGATGAATTTATGTCGGTTTTTTTTTTTTTTTTTTTGTAATTGAAGAGGGTTTATGTGATGATAATTTTTTGAATTTTGAGTTTTGATGCCTGGCATGTTTATTTGATTGAATGTTATTTTCTCGGAAAGATTGTTGATTTATTTGGATGATCGGAGAAGTAACGTGGTTAATCTAGGTAACCCTGATTAGTTTGTTCATGGGTCGGTTGAATTTTGGCAAATTTTGCGTGCTGTTTTCAGACTCCAATTTGATTTTGTCATTTGCAAGTGTTTAACATTTTTATTGAATTCTTGGATTTTGAAAAGGTTTATTTGGTTACTTTCGTATGTACTAATATGTAACTGGTTGTTCTAAAGGTTCAATATGCGGAAACACTGAGGCGTTTCAATGCTAGTGTCAATGAGAACAATCAACTGGATCTTGACATGAGTGGATTGCGAGAAAAGATCTTGAGTCTTTTCAATCTCCACTCTGATGCTGACATCACTTTGGCGTACGTTGATGAAGATGGTGATGTAGTAACTCTTGTTGATGATGGTGATCTGCATGACACGATGAGGCAGAAGCTCAAATTCTTGAAGATATATGTACAGATTAACAAGGACAAATCTGCTAAGTCAAGTGGAAGTTCTACTCCTCTGAGGTCCCCTCAAGGTCAAACTCCAATACCAGATTTTAATGCTGATGTTGCCGAAGTTTTGAAGTCCCTGCCAGAGCCACTTCGGGAATTCGCTTCAAAGTTTCCTCTTGATTTGGCTTCAAAAGTTGCATCATCCAGTCCAGTGTTTGCGGAGCTTGTTGACTGCTTTTCGAAGATGGGCCTGTCGTACTTGATTCCAGATGCCCAGGTTCAGACCGCTGGAGATTCGGGCAAGCAAAACGGCGCCTCTAAGAGTCCCGTGGATCCCCCAGCTGCTTCTAAGTCAAATGATCTGAAGGGTGATGGCAGGTCAGAACCCATCTCTGCAGCTGAGGAATCAAGCACCAAAAAAGGTCAGGCGACAGACTCTGTGAATGTGACCAAGGATGTGGGGATGTCTGCTCCACCTCTTTATGCAACTCTTGATCTCAATTTCCTTCCTACAGATTCTAATCTATCAGGACCCATGCCCATTAATGATTCACCAGCTGGATCAAGTCTTCATACCAGTGATGCAAGGAAGGAGTCTAAGCAGCTTCCCAATGGTCGTCTCAATATTCAAAAGAAACTTCACAGCAAGAAGCCTTTTGGTTGTGGTCCGTCCGCAAGTTCAGCTCGTGCTGCAAGCAATATTCATGATATGATTAGTACTCGTTTCAACGAATGTCCATTTACAGGGACTCCCATTGCTAATGACTCAGCTACTCCTGCTGCCTGTCGGCGCATTCCTTTCAAAAGAAATCACTCCGAAGCGATGGGTGGTATGTTCCATACAGGTGTTCGCTGTGATGGCTGTGGTTGTCATCCAATTGTTGGACCTCGATTCAAGTCAATAGTGTAAGAATGGAACTTATCAAATATGTGATGCTAAGTTGGTAGTGAAACGTTGTTGAACTCAGATTATTGACGTTACTTTCTGTTTCTTTTCTGCAGGAAAGAGGATTATGACCTCTGCCGGATCTGTTTTGCCAGTAAGGGTAGTGCAACTGATTACATTAGGATTGACCACCCTATCTCTCATCGTCATCCACGGCCCTTCAAGGGGTTGTATGAGCAAGTGTGTAGATCCCTCTAATACTTTTTCTTCCCCATAGATACCATATTTTATTTTTGTTACGAATTTGACCTTTCTTTTTCATTCTTAATGACAGCCTCCATGGGTAGGTCCCCCAGTTATGCCAAAAATATTGAGAGGTAGTATGAAGCAAGGCCGCCCTAAGCTTGATAGCCGCTTTGTATTGGATGTCAATGTAATGGATGGTACCTTTATAGCCCCATCTACTCCATTTACCAAAATATGGCGGATGCGCAACAACGGTGGTATGGTGTGGCCTCAAGGAACAACACTTGTGTGGATTGGGGGCGACAGATTTAGCAATTCAGATTCAGTTGAAATAGAGGTGGCATACTTTGACATTGTTCTGGAATTGTTCAAGTAGCATTTAATATTTACTTTTTTGTTGTCTTTCCATATTTCCTGGGTTTTAGTTGGCACTTCTATTCATTTTTGTTTTAGTTCTTTTATTTCAGAGATTTTTTGTTGTCATTTTTTAATTTCATGGTTCGTTATAGATTCCTGCGGATGGTGTGCCGGCTGAAAATGAAATTGACATTGCCGTTGATTTTACTGCACCCGAGTCACCTGGTCGCTACATCTCATACTGGCGGATGGCAACCTCATCTGGCCAAAAGTTTGGGCAACGTGTTTGGGTCCTGATTCAGGTATCTTCCATATTATTAATTGTGTTCTTTTGATGACCTCTACTTTTATTATGCATACAGGCGGATGTTTCCGGAACAACTTTATACCTAATGCCCGTAACTAGACAACTCTTCTGATCCTTTATTCCCTTGTGCAGGTTGATACATCCTTGAAGGATTCATTCTTTGAGAGTTTTCAGGGTCTGAACTTGAATCTGCCCCCAAAAGAATCTGAAAAAATAGATGTGAACCTTCAACCAGCTGCTGGCAGTGACTTTCTCCAGCCTTCTGGTTCTAGCCCACTTAAGGAACCGGTGAAGCCCATGCCTACTGAGCAGCCTGGACATGACCAGGAGCTCCACTTCCCCATCAATGATAGCTTGCTGGTTGGCCACAGCGCTTCTGCCCCTACTGAGCCACAGGGTTCTTCAACTGTGATGTACCCCACTGTTGAGCCACAAGGTTCTTCAGCTGTGTTGTATCCCACTGTTAAGCCACAGGGTTCTTCAACCGTGTTGTATCCCACTGTCGATATCTTTGAACCATCTCCGCCCTCCCCCAAATTTTCACTTGTTGTCAATGCACCAGCATCATCTGAAGGGACCAGTTCAAACAATGCCGTGGAAGACACCATGCTGAAGGAGCTCGAGGCGATGGGATTTAAGCAGGTCAATTTGAACAAGGAGATTCTGCGTTTGAATGACTACAACATGGAGCAGTCTGTCGATGATCTCTGCGAGGTTTCTGACTGGGATCCCATCCTTGAAGAGCTGCAGGAAATGGTAAGTTTGTACAACCCGACTGTAACAAAATCTTGACGGATAGTTCCCTCTCCAAATTTTCGGTGTATCCTGAGTACGATCGCTGTGTGCAGGGTTTCTGTGATACCGAAATGAACAAGAAGCTGCTGGTGAAGAACAATGGAAGCATCAAGCGTGTGGTTATGGATCTGATCAACGGGGAGCAGCTTTAGATGGAAGACAACTACTAATAAATCATGTTATTATATATTCCTAGTATATATATATATATATATATATATATATATATATTATCTCAGAAATAATGGACTGGCATTTTTCGATATGCAATCTGATGCTTTGCTTGCTTTTGGGGACCATGTCCATGTGCATCTTTTTCTTAGTATGTAATTATGTTTTAGTAAATTGGTACTGATATCTAAGTTTTGGATTTAATATTATATTCTACGTTATGTATTCATGTGGCCATTTAGTCTTTATTGATTTCTATGTTATTTAATGTCCCACCACTTTATTTATACTTCTGTTATATGCAACTGGGACGTTAAGATGATAGTATCTTAATTAATTGCTCTGGTGTGTGATACGCTTGAGATATAGGTGTTTTAGCATTATGGTTGCATGTAAGATAGGTACGGCAATTTTTTTGTGTAATTTGTTAATTTGGCATGAAATAACACGAAAATAACAAGTTTCGAGTCTGTCTGTTAACGAGTTGGGTAGTTGTTGGTCATCCGTTAACGAATTAGGTTCTAATTGAGCTATTTGTTAAGAACTTGTTAAGGTAACAAGTATGATACGTAAATAACACGAACACAATCGATTTGCAGGTCTAGATAGTGAATTATAAAATTCTTTTGCGTGACTTATTAATCTGACACGAAATAGCACAACCTATTCACAAGTTGGATCATTAACGGGTCATTTAGTTTAAAAATCTGTTTAAGTAACTAGTTTAACAGGACATAGATTTGTTAAGATAATATGAATGACATATAAACAACAAAAATAACCCGTTTGTCCGGTCTCGTGCCTTTGGAAAAAAGGTGGAGTAACTGGAGTTGCCAAATTTGCACGGCAAATTGGACGGTCGAAGCGACTTATCCTGTATATCCTTTTTTTAGTCCACGACTCGAACGTTGCAAGTGATTTGGAGGGAAAGGATAAGATTTTTTGCTGCATGGATTGCTCGTTTACCAACATATCTCATCTCCTTTCCCACCGTTTGCCTCTCGCCTTTTTAACTGCCTCCACACCCTTGCATTTCTTGCCACATCTTTTTCTTTCAAGTAATGTTGTTCGACTCCTTACATATAACGAATCGATCTTTATTACTTATCTAGAAGTACGTATATAACACTTATTTTTTAAGTAAAAGTCGTAAAATATTCGGTCGTTCAGTTTGAAGTGGAGACTGTTAAAACCAGAAATTAAATGATTAGCTATGATTGAAGTGAAGTACAAGTAAAAGATAGGAAGGAACTAGAAAGTACTCATGTTGTTTGAGTAGCTTTACCAGTTTACCCTCCATGTTGACAAGATCAGTTTCCATGTGCTCTAGATTAGTTTATGACTCCCACCCACTTAACTACAATATATTCAACACTCCCTTCTCTCTCATCTCTCTCCTCACACACACACACACACACACACACCAAATTCTTAAAAACTTGATCTTTAGGCTCTCTCCCTTCCCATGACTCCAGCTGCAGATCAAGACTGAAACCACTGTTTCCATCAGAGGTTAATTAATCCCACAAATCTCATCGCACCCCATTTAATTACCCTCAATGATGGGGACTATGGAGTTTTAATCAAACTAGCATACGTATGCAGTACTCTAGTTTTCACTTGGGGAGGTGCTTTTGCTAATCTGCTTCTGGACCTTATGGTCTTGCCTTTCTGAGGGATTTTTTCTTCTCATTTCCCCATAAAAACTTGCCAAGCAAAAAAAAAAGCACTTTGGGCATTGAGCTTTTGTTTTGGGGCTTTTGCTGTCAGAGTCTGCTCTCTGTTAGAACATGTGGGGTTCCATGCTTTTGCCTTCTCCAAGGACATGTAAGTACCATCTCCTCCTTCCTGTGAGTTTTTTGAGCTTTGGGATGCTGCTTATCTCTTTTGTGTCAGCTTATCCACTCACAGAGAATCAATGAATGAGTTAGCTTCTCAACAAGTGCTTTTTGGCTTTTGGGTTTCTGATATTATGTTATATGGATTTTGGGTTTTGATGCTGGATTGTTTGGTTGTGTAGAAAGATGGAATCTGGGAGTAGGTTTTACTCAGCTGATGAGTTCAGATTGGATGCCAAATGGCTGATTGATCCCAAGCATCTGTTTGTTGGGCCAAGAATTGGTGAGGGAGCTCATGCCAAAGTCTATGAGGGCAAGTAAGTTGTACAGCTTCGCTTTGCTTTCAATTTTTTGAGTTTTCGATTTGTACCCATGAATAGTTTGGTCTGCATAAGTGGAAACCTTGTGTCTTGATTTGTGGCTAATGACGTTTCTGCGGTTCGCATTTTCGTTTCATTTGAGAGTAATGTTGTTTAGATTTGTGGCTAATGATGTTTCTGCGGTTCATCTTGTTTGGATTAGATAAACTACGATTGCGTTCTTGTGGCGATTAGCAATACATTTTATCCTTTCTTGCTTTGCATTCTAACTCTGCCTATGTAATTTTACATTGCCGGTCCCAAGCCCGGATAAAGGAGGAGGGGGAGGGCGTCAGGTAGTCGACAGCCGGCACTCCATGATCACGTCGAATCCTTATGAAAATGAATCCAGAACAAAATCGCGCTAAAGCTAGGGCGTCACCCGTAAGTGGCGCGCTGTGTGGCCCGAGCACAGTGATAAGTGAGCAAGGGTCGCTGTATCTCCATCGGCACCCGGATGCAGTGTTAAATGAGCAAGGGGGCCGTAGAAACTTCTTTTCGAACGACTCCACTCAAAGTTGTTTGGGAGCATATGCTCCTATCAACTTTACACGGGACACACAAAAGAAGTACTTTGATCCTATTAGACGGGGGAGGGTGAAGAAGCTAGGACAGAAGGGTAGAGTTCAAGAGAGCAAAATGCGTTTAGGAACGTGGAATATAGGAACCTTAACGGGAAAATCTATGGAAAGTAGTGGAAGTTATGGTGAGGAGAAGGATAAATATTATGTGCCTACAAGAAACTAAGTGGGTTGGTAGTAAGGCAAAGGATCTAGAAAACTCAGGGTTTAAACTTTGGTATTCGGGCACAAATAGAACGAGAAACGGTGTTGGCATCATCGTGGACAAGACCTTGACACAAGATGTTGTAGATGTCAAGAGGGTAGGAGATAGAATCATGGCAATCAAGATTGTAATAGGACAAGAACTTATCAATGTGATTAGTGCGTACGCACCTCAAGTAGGGTTGGATACGAGTTCGAAGGAGAAATTTTGGGAAGACCTTGGAGACTTGGTGCAAGGAATTGCTCAGACGGAGAAGTTATTTATAGGAGGAGATCTAAATGGACACGTGGGCAGGGAGACAGGCAACTATGGAGGTTTTCATGGTGGCCATGGTTTTGGGGAGAGAAACGAGGATGGGGAAGCTATCTTGGATTTTGCAATGGCATATGATCTCTTCTTAGCCAACACCTTCTTTAAGAAGAGAGAAGAACATGTGATCACCTACAAGAGTGGGTCGTCAAAAAACACAAATAGATTTTCTTCTAATGAGGAAAGGGGATCGTATAACTTGTAAGGATTGCAAAAGTTATACCAGGAGAGAGCGTGGCTAATCAACATCGCTTGTTGGTGATGGATGTACATATCAAAAGAGGGAGACAAAAGAACAAGACTTGGAAGTGCCCAAGGACTAGATGGTGGAATCTAAAAGAAGAAAAACAAGCCATTTTCAAAGAGAAGGTAATCACCCAATGTGTGTGGGATAGAGAGGGGGAAGCTAGCCAAATGTGGGATTCCATGGCTAGTTGTATCCGAAAAGTAGCAAAAGAGGTATTAGGAGAGTCCAAGGGCTTTGCCCCACACCAAAAGGAATCTTGGTGGTGGAATGAGGAGGTACAAACAAAGGTGAAGGCTAAGAAGGAATGTTGTAAAGCCTTATACAAGGAGAGGACCGATGAAAATGGTGAAAGGTATAGAAAAGCGAAGCAAGAGGCGAAGAAAGCGGTCAGAGAAGCTAAGTTAGCGGCTTACGACGATATGTATAAACGACTAGATACCAAAGAAGGAGAGTTGGATATCTATAAACTAGCTAGAGTAAGGGAAAAGAAGACAAGGGACCTAAACCAAGTGAGGTGCATCAAGGATGAGGATGGAAAGGTTCTTGCTACAGAGAACGCGGTTAAAGACAGATGGAGAGGTTATTTTCATAATCTTTTCAATGAAGGACATGAAAGGAGTGCTTCTTTAGGGGAGTTGAGTAACTCAGAAGAGTGTAGAAACTACTCTTTTTATCGTCGAATCCGGAAGGAAGAAGTGGTTGTAGCTTTGAAGAAGATGAAGCATAGAAAAGCAATAGGCCCAGACGATATACCAATCGAAGTGTGGAAAGTTTTGGGGAGAGACAGGTATAACATGGCTCACTGACCTTTTCAATAGGATTTTGAAAACGAAGAAGATGCCAAATGAGTGGCGAACGAGCACTTTGGTGCCTATCTACAAGAATAAGGGCGACGTACAAAATTGCATGAACTATAGGGGTATTAAGTTAATGAGTCATACAATGAAGCTCTGGGAGAGAGAGTCATTGAGCATAGATTGAGGCAAGAGACACGGGTTTCGGACAACCAATTCGGGTTCATGCCAGGGCGCTCAACCATGGAGGCAATCTATCTCTTACGAAGATTGATGGAAAGATATAGAGATGGGAAAAAGGATTTACACATGGTCTTTATAGATTTGGAAAAAGCGTATGATAGGGTCCCAAGAGACATTCTTTGGAGGATTTTAGAGAAGAAAGGAGTACGAGTAGCATATATCCAAGCTATAAAGGATATGTATGAAGGAGCAAAGACTGCCGTAAGAACTCATGAAGGACAAACCCGAAAGCTTTCCCATAACTGTAGGATTACATCAAGGCTCATCCTTAAGTCCTTACCTTTTTGCGTTGGTAATGGATGAGTTAACAGGACATATTCAAGATGATATTCCTTGGTGTATGCTTTTCGCAGACGATATAGTGTTGATAGATGAAACTCAGGAAGGGGTAAATGCAAAGCTTAACCTTTGGAGAGAAGTGTTGGAATCTAAAGGTCTTCGCCTAAGCCGATCAAAGACAGAATATATGGAGTGCAAGTTCAGTGCAGATGGAGGCCAAAACGAGTTAGGGGTGAGGATCGGAGATCAAGAAATACCAAAGAGCGACCGTTTTCGTTACCTAGGATCTATCTTGCAAAAGAACGGAGAAATTAGATGGAGATCTCAACCATAGAATACAAGCTCGATGGATGAAGTGGAAGAGTGCATCTGGCGTGTTGTGTGACCGCCGTATGCCACTGAAGCTCAAAGGAAAATTCTATAGGACGGCAATAAGGCCGGCGATGCTGTATGGCACAGAATGTTGGGCGGTGAAGCATCAACACGTACACAAAATGGGTGTAGCGGAGATGAGGATGCTTCGTTGGATGTGTGGGCACACGAGAAAGGATAAGATTAGGAATGAGGATATCCGGGGTAAAGTAGGAGTAGCCGAAATTGAAGGAAAGATGAGAGAAAATCGGTTACGGTGGTTTGGACATGTGCAAAGAAGGCCTACTGACGCTCCGATTAGAAGATGCGACTATGGGACAGAGGTTCAGGGCCGAAGGGGTAGAGGAAGACCTAGGAAAACTTTGGAAGAGACTCTAAGAAAAGACTTAGAGTACTTGGATCTAACGAAGGACATGACACAGGACCGAGCACAATGGCGTTCTAAGATTCATATAGCCGATCCCACTCAGTGACTTGGATTTTCCAAGTCTCCAACCGAGAAGTTTTCCTCACTCGAAAAATTTAAGGGAACACTACCCCAACCTACATGCTCCACTCAGAAAGCTTCAACATACAAGCTTCAACAAAAGAAAATTCAAAGAACTTAGCGAAGAAGGCTTTGGTGTATTTAACACAATACGTTGAAATGAAGGAAAACTTATTTATTGATATCCCCGATAAGCTACAAATATGTACATATACATGAGTCAAAATAAACAAAACAAGATGGAGCCTTCACAAAGGTTGCTTAGGAGAAGTCTCAGCAGTTGGTAGAGCCCTAGAAAGAGAAGGCATCGGAGGGGATCATTCGGAGCCTCAGTACTGGACAGAACCCTAGAAGGAGGAGGCATCAGAGGTTGATCATTTGGAGCTTCATTACGCGGTACAGCCCCAGAAGACGAAGGCAATAAATGCCTTTGGAACAAACCCACAAATCTCTGATGATCAAGTAAAACCTGACCATCAGTTTCCTTCATCTGGTCAAGCTTCCTCTTCATGTTTGTAGCATAGTCATGTGCGAGTCGGTGCAACTGTTTATTCTCATGCTTGAGCCCTCTAATCTCCTGTTTGAGACTCATCACTTCGGCCGCCAATGACTCAACTTGGCGGGTTCGAGCAAATAGGCGTTGGGCCATATTAGACACAGAACCTGCACACTGAACACTGAGAGCCAGAGAATCCTTAACAGCCAACTCATCAGACCGTTTGGAAAGTAGTCTGTTATCTTTGGGAGTGAGAAGGTTCCTGGCCACTACCGCAGCGGTCATATCATTCTTCATCACGGAATCCCCAACGGTAAGAGGACCAGTAGGGGAGACGAAGGATGGGCGCCATATGTTGTCTGGAGAAGGCGGGGCTGCCTCTTCAACAAGGTTCAAGTCAAAACGACGGTCGGAGGGGCCAGACATTTTCAAAGGTATTGAAGAGAGAAGAGGTCGGACAAATCAAGATCTTAGAAGTGCAAGAATGGAGCTTCTACTGGTGGAGATTCAAGTGTGCTTTGGAACTTAATGCCAGCCCCTATAAAAAGCTGCACTCGACGGAGCTTCAGACATCGAAGAGGCGCCTGCTCAGAAAATCGAAGAGGCGTTTGCTTTCTCAAAAGCTGGGCTGCTTAGAGACCACGAGGGTTGATCTCATAAATCGAAGAGGTGTTTGCTTTCTCAAAAGTTGGGCTGCTCAAAGACCACGAAAGCCGATCTCAGAAATCGAAGAGGCGCTCGCTTCCTCAAAAAGCTGGGCTCCTCAGAGACCACGAGGGCCGATCTCAGAAATCGAAGAGGCACCTACTTTTCCAGCCTTGTCAGCACCTGTCACACGTACACTCAGCTTTGCGGAAATTATGGGTATTCTGTCGAAGACTTCTGGGGAAGTAGAAAACACATGAATCTTACTGTCCAATCACCCACTTCCCACACGCAGCAATAGCTCATGGGTACCACAGATAACTTTGCCAAAGTTCTCTGCCAAAGTTGAGCACGTGAAGCTTGCAGCTCCCACTACATCGCTCTGACCAAGAAGGGTAAAAGAATAGCAAAGAAACAGCACTAACAAAGTTTAGACCCATAAAATTTTGAAGGTCTAGCTACCATATTATTACCCACAAGGGTAAAAGGAACAGTACCACTGTTGGATAATTGGAAAGTCCCTGTGTGTCAACCTCTGTGCCTCGTGGCAAGGTAGACTAGCAAACATGCCCAACCTTTACTCACATTCGAGAAAACACTCCCAATAAGATTGCTTGCTCCAAAATCGAAGAGGCACCGTCCTCCGAATCTCGAGAGCCAGACTCCCAACATGACTACTTTCTCAAAAATCGAAGAGAGGGTAAAGGAACAGTACCATTGCTGGATAATTGGAAAGTCCTTGTGTGTCAACCTCTGTGCTTCGTGGCAAGGTAGACTAGCAAACATGCCCAACCTTTACTCACATTTGAGAAAACACTCCCAACAAGATTGCTTGCTCCAAAATCGAAGAGGCACCACCCTCCGAATCTCGAGAGCCAGACTCCCAACATGATTACTTTTTCAAAAATCGAAGAGACACTGCTCCCCGAATCTCGAGAGCCAGACCCCCAGCATGATTGCTTTCTCAAAAATCGAAGAGGCATCGTTCTCCGAATCAATCGAAGAGGCGCTCGCTTTCTCAAAAGCTGGGCTGCTCAGAGACCACGAGGGCCGATCTCAGAAATCAAAGAGGCACCTTCTTTTCTAGCCTTGTCAGCACCTGTCACACGCACACTCAGCTTTGCGGAAATTATGGGCATTCTGTCGAAGACTTCTGGTGAAGTAGAAAGCACATGAATCTTACTGTTCAATCACCCACTTCCCACACGCAACAATAGCTCATGGGTACCACAGATAACTTTGTCAAAGTCTCTGCCAAAGTTGAGCACGTGAAGCTTGCAGCTCCCACTACATCGCTCTGACCAAGAAAGGTAAAAGAATAGCAAAGAAACAGCACTAACAAAGTTTAGACACACATAAATTTTGAAGGTCTAGCTACCATATTATTACCCACAAGGGTAAAGGAACAGTACCACTGCTGGATAATTGGAAAGTCCCTGTGTGTCAACCTCCGTGCTTCGTGGCAAGGTAGACTAGCAAACATGCCCAACCTTTACTCACATCCGAGAAAACACACTCCCAACAAGATTGCTTACTCCAAAATCGAAGAGGCACCGCCTTCCGAATCTCGAGAGCCAGACTCCCAACATGATTACTTTCTCAAAAATCGAAGAGACACTGCTCCCCGAATCTCGAGAGCCAGACCCCCACATGATTGCTTTCTCAAAAATCGAAGAAGCATCGTTCTCCGAATCTCGAGAGCCAGATACCACATACCACTTTTTCAAAGTGCTCTGACAGAGTTAAAACATGTGAAGCTGGCAGCTCCCACTACCGTGCTATGACCAAGCAGGGTAAAGGAATAGCATTACTACTTGTTGTTAGGGAGACTCCTATATATGTCGACCTCCATCCCCAACGGACAGGCAGACCTGCAAAAATGCTCAACCCTTCCTCATATCTGAGAGGGCACTCCCAACGAAGCCTTTCGAAAATATTCAGCTTTCTTTCCCCCCGATAATACCTCTGCAAACAAGCTATACTAGAGCAAGAATATCTCATATCATCAGGGTTAAAAGCAAGAGTATCCCATATCATGCTTTTTTCCCTGTCTTTTCCTTTGGCCTTGTTTTTTACCTGCAAGACAAGGAGAAAGAGAGCAATCAGTCAGCACTTGAAATCAAGCTCCCAGCCAGGAACTGACAGCCTGGAACCCCTTACCTGATTACTTACCTGGCATTGCTCTCGAGTACTCATCTTCAACATCTTATGTTGCCAGGGAAGATACCGTATCTGCTTGAGGAACAGATAGGGCAAGTGCGAAGGATACAAGGAAGCATGTGGAGACAAGCGTAACAGCACACGTGCCGATCCATCCATTACTCTGTCAAAAGCAAAAGTATCCCATATCAGCAGGGTCGAACGTACTCTAGATTTGATGGACTTGTTTTGACCCTCAAATTCTTCAGTCGGCCTTATACTCTGGAGGAAACCAGAAAACCCTCCAGCTCAGTTCAAGAATAAGCCTGTGGAAAGTTACTTCTTCTTCAAAAGCAAAAGTATCCCATATCATCTCTTCTCATTTTTTCTTCTCTTTATCCTTCATGCTGCTGCAAGATGGGGAGAAGGTGAACAATCAGCCGGAGCTCTGATTGCTTACCTTGTCTGTCACCTCTTTCAGCAAAATCCCCTAGCTCGGCGACTTGGGGGACTCCTACTACATGGTTTGTATCGCGCTTGACCAAGCCTGAAACTACAAGTAAGCTTCAAGTGAAATTGATACATTACCTTGTGCATCTCCACCAGTTAAAGATACCACCCCTGGATGGAGGAAGAGTACTTCCAGAGAAGCTGCCACATCTACCTATGAGACAGATAAGGCAAGTCGATACCACACTCCGATACTTAGAAGTTTCGTGATTACGAGATCATTCTCCCACAATATTTCCTAATGTCATTTGTACTCTAATGTCATTTGTACTAAATCATTCACTTGTACTCACTAAAGGAGAGCTTGAACCTATGTACTTGTGTAAACCCTTCACAATTAATGAGAACTCTTCTATTCCGTGGACGTAGCCAATCTGGGTGAACCACGTACATCTTGTGTTTGCTTTCCTATCTCTATCCATTTATATACTTATCCACACTAATGACCGGAGCAATTTAGCGAAGATCACAAAAAAGCGACCGTTTTCGCTACCTAGGATCTATCTTACAAGAGAACGGAGAATTAGATGGAGATCTCAACCATAGAATACGAGCTTGATGGATGAAGTGTAAGAGTGCATCCAGCATGTTTGTGTGACCGTCGTAGGCCACTGAAGCTCAAGGGAAAATTTTATAAGACGGCAATAAGGCCAGCGATGTTGTATGGCACAGAATGTCGGGCGGTGAAACATCAACACGTACACAAAATGGGTGTAGCAGAGATGAGGATGCTTCGTGGGATGTGTGGGCACACGAGAAAGGATAAGATTGAGAATGAGGATATCCGAGGTAAAGTAGGAGTAGCCGAAATTGAAGGAAAGATGAGAGAATCGGTTCCGGTGATTTGGACATGTGCAAAGAAGGCCGACTGACGCTCCGGTTCGAAGATGTGACTACGGGACAGAGGTTCAGGGCCGAAGGGGTAGAGGAAGTCCTAGGAAAACTTTGGAAGAGACTCTAAGAAAAGGCTTAGAGTACTTGGATCTAACGGAGGACATGACACAAAACCGAGCGCAATGGCGTTCTAGGATTCATATAGCCGACCCCACTTAGTGGGAAAAGGCTTTGTTGTTGTTGTTGTTGCTTTGCATTCTGAACTGCATTTTGGGTTTTGCTGAAAATTTAATCTGGTTTAGTGGTTAGATTCAAATTTTGGTAGGATCCCGAAAATGGTTAGGTTTTCGGTGAATTGTAGTTCGGTAGAAGATAACTGATGAATTTGGTTTGAGGGCGAAAAATGAGTTTCTTAAGCGATTAGATTGGCAGCTTGCAAGTAATTATGGTTCAATTTTGAGTTCTGTTATGCTGCAGTTATCTCACTCCTTTTGATTTCGGCCTTTTGGATTCCAATCAGATACAAAAACCAGACTGTTGCAATCAAAGTTGTTCATAGAGGAGAAACTCCAGAGGAGATTATCAAGAAAGAAGGACGGTTTGCCAGAGAGGTTGCCATGTTGTCGAGAGTTCAACATAAAAATTTAGTGAAGGTTCGATTTAATTGCCGCCATTTCGGTGATAAGTCATTGTGGTAACGGGTGACGATAGTTACATTGTGTAGTCATGAACATCAAATTGTTATGTGTCGACATCTGATAATTAATGAAGGTACCCTGCCTCTCAACAGTTTATTGGTGCCTGCAAGGAGCCAGTGATGGTGATAGTTACTGAGCTTTTGTTGGGAGGTACATTGCGCAAATATTGTCTAAACATGCGGCCGAGGTGCTTGGACATACGCGTTGCTGTTGGTTTCGCATTGGATATTGCTCGTGCGATGGAGTGCTTGCACTCTCATGGGATCATACACCGTGATTTGAAGCCTGGTAACTTTTCCTATCCCATTTCAACTGCTTTGAATTCTATAAGTTTAAGTTTAAGACGGTTTAAATTCATAGACTGTTTCAGAACTGGATTGTCGTATTTTTTTCTGTAGTCAATATTTTCTGACTTTTTTGGCTGCAATAACTCTCATTCACACAACTTTCTTTTGGTATTAAATTTTTAATAAATATTTTCCGTGTTTGCATTACGATGATAGATTTCATCACTGCCATACCGTCAGGCTGGAATTATTATTCTGAACTGTACTGTTATATTAAAAAGAGTAGATAGTCATACGTTTAAGTTCCCAAATTCGACTTCAGACTAATTTTAGTAAGATGGCGCTTCAAGAAGGAGTAGAAGATTTTATTCAAAAACAGAACCCGAGGGGCTCCAAACTGAGGGTTATACACCGCTTATAGTCGGTTTAGTCCTCTCCAGTTCCATTTTTTAATAAAAACTTCTACTCGTGGATTTCCCTTGTTTTTACGTATCTAACAACGGATCTGCATTGTATGATTCAATACATTGATGTGGATGGGTGAATTATTTGTTGGGTTTTGAAAAATTACTTGTCTTTTAGCTCATATTCTTACTTATTTGATCTTTTTTTTAACTTTTGGGTGCAGAGAACTTGCTCTTGACTGCAGACCACAAAACAGTTAAATTAGCGGATTTTGGGTTGGCAAGAGAAGAGTCATTAACAGAGATGATGACTGCAGAAACGGGGACATACCGTTGGATGGCTCCGGAGGTACTACCCTTCTTCCCCCACACTCTTATGAACCGTTGACGCTTAAAAATACCTCTTTATTGAGTTGATATTTCCTATTTTTTGGCAGTTGTACAGTACTGTTACATTAAGGCAAGGAGAGGGAAAGCATTACAACCACAAAGTGGACGCATATAGCTTCGCAATTGTTTTGTGGGAACTCTTACACAACAAATTGCCTTTCGAAGGCATGTCAAATCTCCAGGCAGCATATGCAGCTGCATTTAAAGTAAACATATCTTCCTCATCGATACATTATTTCCGATCCCAACCATTAATTCTGCAAATGGCTTATGGTGCTGCTAAGTTTTACTGATGATTTAATGGATACTTAACATTTCAGAATGTGAGGCCTAGTTCTGAGAACATCCCTGAGGAGTTGAACATCATCCTAACTTCATGCTGGCAGGAGGACCCGAATGCTCGGCCTAATTTCAGCCAAATAATTCAAATGCTACTCGATTTTCTTTACACCATATCTCCTCCCGAACCTGCCATTCCATCACGGATGTTCACTGAGAACACCGTCTTGCCACCAGAGTCTCCTGGTACAAGCGCCTTGATGGCAGCACGCGAAGGCTCAGGGGAGACGCCCAAATTAGGAGATATGGAAGACAAGCCAAAAGGTTTTTTCTTCTGCTTTAACCAGTGTTATTGAGTAGCTGAAGAGAAGATCCACAACCTCCGTCTTTCGGGTCAATAACGTTCGGAGGTAAGATCGTAAACACTAGAAACTAGTCCGATTAAGTACATTTTGTTAACATGGTAAATGTTTAAGCTGATCAGTGTCGAATTTCATCAAGTTCAATTGTCGAATACACCACTTTGTATCTATCCAATGTTCCGCTGGATCTTGTCGATGTGTAGGATCTTAACCCCGATTTGATATTCTTCAACGTCTGGTAGCTAATACTTTCCGAGTACGGTTTCCTTGTGATGCTTGCTGGAAAGGAAATCGAACTTTAATTCTTCATCGAAAGCAGCTTCCATTTGCTCGGAAATTCGAAGCTGTAACTTCACAAAAACGATGACAAACCTTGCATTAATGCTGACTGTATACGTGTAACTGTTAATTTTTCGTAGATTCTTCTGCGTGCACATAGTGATTTGGAAGCGGTTTGACCATTTATTTTGTCACATAAGTAATTTTGGTTGAACTTTTGAGCTGAAATACAGAAAATCAATTAAAACTAGGAAGAATGGATTTTTGTCGGCCAGAACATCTCTAAAATCTTTTTGCATTAACACTACGAAGCTTAGGATGAAGCGAAAATGTCACGAAAATAGATTTTATAAACATTATATGATTGAAACTATTACAGCGAAATTCAACATCTTATCTACTAAAATATTGGATCGCATACGTGATAGTTACTACAGTGCTGGGTTTGGCGGGAGAGATAGTAAAGGTTGTTAATGCCATTTTGTTCAATATTGGGGTGTTTTTTTAATGTCTCAATTTCTTTTATGTAAACACTTCCTTGTCTTCGAGCTATTTGCATGTTACGTTCTTAGATTAAATATAGACAACACGTTCAACAAAAATTCGCATATAGCACATTGTAATTCCAAAAATTAAATTATGTACGCACGTAAACGCGTGCATGAAGGCTAGTTTTCTTTAAGGGTATGCTATCCACACATCTTATTTTACTTCTCACACATTCTTTGATAATTTATATCCGTTGATCTTTTTCAATTTATTCAATCCGACGGTCGAAAATTAAAAAGGTATTTGTGGATATTTCATCCTTTTCTTTAGAGTGAGTAGCAAGTTGTTGGATGATATAGGAACAGGAGCTTCTGGAAAAGTGTGAGAATAATTTAATATCAGGATGGAAACTGACATTATGCCTTTTGAGATATGAAACCTTGCAAATGAAGGAAGGATTTTTCAATATGACTATCATACGAGATGGTATATCACATGTTGTTATATAAATTGTGGAATATGTGTGTTAAAAAGTTAATAGCTTAAAAAATAAAAAATTTCATCACTTATATAAAAACACATGATGTATTACTTGTGTTTCTGTCACAACTAAAAATTTCTCCAAATGAGGCTTATTTCTGGCTCACCTCCTTTTTCCAGCTATGTTAGATTCGTATGCTTGAATCAACAGTTTGATATAGACAAGGGAACGGGATGCTACACCCTTTTGATTTGACAAGACAGTATTCTAATTTACATGAGAAAAATATTTAAACTTGAATGTAAAGAGGTCGACGTATTGTTTTGGTAAATTAGGTTAACTCACATCTACAGAACTAGATGTTATTTTATTTATTTAACAAGACGATATTTGTAGAGAGAGGAATTCAAACTTAAATAAAATAGGCTGGCATAATAGCTTAATAAACTAGTCTTACTCTCGTTAGTAAAACTAGATACCACCTTCTTGTTTGACTAAGACGATGTTCTAATTTTTGAAATCAAAGAAAGGGGCCCGACATAACAAGAGATACAAACGTAAACCCTAGAAGAAAAATCCACCAGAGTTTGGAAGAAAACTGAAAGGTTTATTTGATTGATTCTTAAATGTATATTACAAAGCCAAAGACTTAAATAGACTTAAACTCAGCCATGAGGAAGTTCAGGGGTCTTAGGGACATTGAAATGACATAAACTGGATGGAAAATCGAAAGTTTGAATTTTATTACAAACTTTAAAATGCTGTTTTGGAAGTTTAGACGATCTTGAATGGCTAAATATGTAAATTTTCGCTGCGTCTTTTTGTCTTCCTTCATTCTATTCCGTCTTCAATGCACCCAAAACGTAGCTCGGACAACAAATATGTAAATTTCCACTGTGTCCTTTTGTCTTCCTTAGGTCTATTTCATTTTCAATCCACTCAACCATCTATTCTACGCAAGGTTCTAGAAGGCGCTAGTCGAGCGGCGAGATGGAGCCTAGTGCCTAGGCGGCTAGACGGAGCCTAGGCAGACTAGACGAATTTAAGTAAATCTATTATATTTTGTGTAAATAAGTGTCTACTTATACTTAAAATATATATAATTTCATCATAAACTACAAAATAAAATGACATATATATATATATATTATGAAGTATTGGAGCATAATGAAAATATGGGAAACAAGGATATAATGTGTGTTTATTTAAGCATGCAACAAGTTTCTTACAATTTATTGAAAAAATAAAATGCAAAATGAAAGTGATATATTTTCTGTCTAAGTGAGCCGTGACCTAGGCGGATCTCTAGGTGGTCTAGGTAGGTGCCTCAACAGGTCTAGGCGCCATTTCTTAATTTTCAAATGTCTAAGCATTAATCAGGACGATGACCAACCACCTAGCGCTTAGGCAAGGCCCAAGCGGTGATAGGTGGAGATTTTTAGAACCACATCAGCAGAACTAGATGCCACCCTTATCATTTTAGAATATAGGCCAAACCAATTTTCCTATAAATTGAAGCTTTTGCATCCTCCTAATGCTTCAAGTTCAAGGTACTTGTGAATTTGTGATTGCCAAAAAAAAATAAAAATGAGGAGAAGCTACGACTACCCAACCAGGCACCAAAATGGGAACGACTATTACTCCCATGTGCATAGGATGGCAAGAACCCCTAGTGTCCTCACTGATGTCCCTCATGGCCAAGTCCTATTCGGCAACCAGGCCCCTGGGAGAGAGAGCTATGGCGGTCAGTACTACGAACAGCGTCAGCAGAACCAGCAGTCCATGCCGGAAGTTCACAAGACGGTTGAAGTGACTAAGACAGTCACGGAGTGCGACAAAAAGGGGAACTGTGTCGTGTCTGAGGAAACTATTGATGTTGAGGCCGATGGCTACATCGAGCAGAAGCACAAGGGGTTTGAGCTCTTCAAGTGGAGGACCTTCAAACCACGCTAAGGTGCCGGAGAGTTCTTGACAAGGATGATTGGCGGGCAAACTTTAAGCAACCCATGACTTGTATAAATAAAGTGCCTGCAATTATCCATTCTGATGAACTTCCTTAATTAAGCTCTTAATAGGATGCCACTGTCATGTTTAATGTATTTCACTTCCTAACTAAACAAGTTATTATTACTTATTGTTATTCTCGTGTTATTAGTTTTTCTTTTTCTTTTTTTGTCTCAGTTATTAATCTTTACTTATTGGTACAAGACTGCAGCAGCAGCGGTGTGTGTGATATTTACTCCTGCAGCAAGTAAACGTGTAAGACTTTGTGATGGTTTTGAGAATTGACAGTAAAAGAACTGATGCTAAATGCTAACCCTTGGTTTTTTTTCCGCAAGACGGGCGAAAACATCTAGTAAAATCCTGCTCTACCTCATGTCTTACGCCATCTGCAGAACTTAGTTTGGTTCTCCAACATAGAACTTTTATATATCATTGCAGAAATCAATCGAAACCAATTGTTGGTAACATACCGCGATACACCTTTCGCTTGCCAAAAGTTACGATGTGCAGTACTACTTTAGCTTAACACAGATTTTGATCTCCAACTAAGCAAATGAAGATTGAAAGATAACAATTTCTTCACACAAAAAAGAAACAACGCACATATAATTCAGACCTTTCTCCTTTTTTTTAATGTAATCCTAGTGTCAAAATTCGTAGATATTCGGAGAAAAAAATATGTTAACCTGCAAAAAATAAACAAGGCCACGAATTATGGATCGTTATCTGGGGGAACATTAGCCTCATCCAATCTTCTTGAAGATATTTTATTGAATAAACTTCTAAGGCTGTGCTTGCTCTCCCTACGCCTCTGACGGACTCGTGCCACACTCTCCAACTCATCAAGGACTAGCCCTGTCTCTAACCTTTTCGAAACGGCCACAATCTCATAAGCATCCCATAGTGACTGCCCGAAATCCCATTTTGTATCACCAGCTGATGATGATTTTCTCATTGCTTCAAGCTTGAACCGGGATGGCGATTTGCCGTTGTAATTTCTCGGGCGGGTGTCAAATTCGGACATGAGCTGAGAGCGGCCGGAGTGGCTGTACCAAGCTTGTGCCACAGCCTTGAGGATTTCAAGTTCTCTGTCATCTTTAAGCTGTAACTTTTGCTTCATGGTGAGTTGTTTTTTGCTCTAACAAAGTCTTGTATGGGCCATGCATGTTATCTTTGAGCAACTTAGAGCCTCACAAATTGGTAGTCAAACAGAGATAAGTTTAGGCAACCCTATCCTTTTTTGTGGGCGTAAGAATTTTGTCTTTCACAAGCTTGTGAGGTGAACACATACAGATCGGGAAATGGGCATGAAAAATGGGCTGGGCTGCCTCATTGATGTTGTCATAGAAGTAAGTACTTTTTAAGTGAATAGCGTGAATCAAACTTTTGGCATAATTTCGAGTTCAAATTTTAACTAGTATTCGCGTTATTCGGCTCAAATTTCTGAAAAAATCTTGCAAACAAGATGTTACATGATTGAGCTCAGTAAAATTGTGCAACTCTAGCCCAACCCAAGTGAGCCTAACCTAACCCGATTGAAACCCAATCTCAAAATTGTGAAGGTAAAGTTGGGGTTGCGGTGACTGGCAAATCTGCGTCAACCTCTCTGAGTCGCACCCTTACTTAAAAGTCTTATTTTTGTTATAGACATCAAGAGAGACATTACTTGACAAAAGTACTCTAAAATTGAGGGCATGTGACACATTGTTGAGAATATTAATCTCACATCCTGGAAAAAGAAAAAAAAAATCTTTGCATGTGCTTATAAGTAATTGAGTTACTTTCTATATTACCAATTGATTTTATGATGAAATCTCAATTTTCTTCACACACATTTAATTTTTTTTTTTTTACATAAATTATTACGGAAGTGAGGACATTTGATTCTTTTAGCACAAATGTATTCTTTGGATGATAAAATGTAGCAAATTAAAGTTAATTGTCGAAATATGTCATTCATATCACAACGAGTGTGGCTACAATATCTCGTGATTTAAGTGCATTGGTATATCTATGGAGCAGATAAATGTGATGAAGATGTACAATATGTTCTTCAAATCTCAACTCATTTTATTTTATTGTAGATTTTCCGCATGTAAACAAAAGCATATTTTACCTTTTTTTTAAAAAAAAACATATAACTTATTCCTAAAGGGAACAATCATTCACATTTGTTGAGCGAAGAAAAAAATATATAGACTAACTACA